TACTTATTATAGAGCTGTATAAACTAACTAGGACACTGGGCTTCTTTGACGTGGGAGGGAATTCTATCAACTGAGATTTATAGTTAAGGCACCTAAGGCATAGAGAAGTTAAATGACTTCCTGAAAATCACATAACTGGTAACTGGACTAGAATCCAGGTCTGGTAATTCCTTCACCAGACTTCTCACCACTAGGTACACTGAAGGATGGATGTAGGGAGCGGCTATAGGATTAAGCCTCCTTGGACTGACCTGTGGCAGGGCCACAAACAAGTCCCAGCCTGGAGGGCAGAGCTCTCCTAGCATAATTAAGCCTGACCTTGCAGCCCTCGCTAATTCTTTCCTAAGTAGCGAATGGGCTGTGGGAGGTGCAGCAAGTGTTGCCAAAACAAGAACATTTGTATACTTGTTAATATTGTTATAATCAGACTATAAAATAACGCATCAGCTTGCAGGCTGGATCTCTCTGTGTCCTCATCCAGGCATGGAAGATCCTCCAAACCCCAGTTGTATTCTCTTTGTCTGTCTTCTTTAAATCCTTCACCGTCCCTCCTCAGGTTCATCCTTGTCCATGCTGGCATGGCATAGATGGAGAGCAACTGGAAGTGATTCTGAGCTCGTGAGCCCAGGAGACCAAGGTTACAAGAGTGTCATTTCAAACAATGGAAATGAGCAAAGTCTGAGGAAGGTTTTTGAGCCCAGTGTTGAAACTGTGGTTTCCTAGCCCTCCCCAAACCCTCAAGATAGTTAATCATGTTGAGGGTAAGAAATTATTTTATTTTTCAAAAGAAAGTGGAACGGTTCTGGCCAGTGTTGCTCAATTCCTAGTCAAAGGCATGTGCCTGAGTTTCAGGCTCGATTCCCGGCCTGGTCATTGCACATATGGGGAGGCAACCAACTGATGTGTCTTTCTCACATTGATGCGTCTCTCTCCCCTCCCCTCTTCCACTTTCTCTTAAAAAAAAAAATCAATAAAAAAAATATTCTCGAGTGAGGATTAACAACAACAGAAAGCAGAACCAACAACAGCTGTAAAAACCCCAAACCGTTCAAACCAATTTCAGGGATCCCACTGTTGACTATTTAACACATCTTCTCTCCTCAAACCCACAACCTCAGCTGACGACCCTGCTTCCGATTTCACTGAAGAATAGAAGAAATAAAAAGAGAACTTCCCTTAACTAGCACCACCAAGGTGACCTACCTACCTGGATGGGTTGCCTATGCTCCCAGGGAAGGCTAGCTTCCTCCTTCATGGAGCACTCACCTACTTCAAGGCTTTGTTCCTACAATTGCCCCACCCCTCGCATCATGGGTTTTATTGTGATTTGATATGTGTGGGTTATTCCCATTAACACAACATACCAACATGTGATTTTATTAATCTTAAAAAACCCATCCCCTGATCCCAGGTCTCTCCCCAGCCATTTCCCCATTTCTCTATTTTTCATGATCACAAAGTCCTTTTAGGTTCTGTCTCCATTTCCTGACCCATTTTTTTTCTTGTACCCACTCCGAACAGGCATTCTTCCCTCCTGCTTACCGGAATCACTCTTGTCAGGGCGGCTGTACATTCCATGACACCAGGTCACGTTTCCATCCCCCTCTTGCTGTCTCAGGAGCACCTGACACAGTACATAACTTCCTCATTGAAGCACTGTCTTTCCTCGGCCTCTGGAACACCACACTCTCCTGACTTTCTTTCCATTTTATTGGCTGCTCCTTCTCAGTCTTCTTGACTGGAACCTTCTGCTCTTAAAAACCTCTAAGTATGGGAGCATCTCAGGACTCACACTCAGACCTCTTCTTTTTTCCCAGCCACACTCATCCAGTCACACAGTTCAGCATCTTTCTGGAATGCTTAGAGATATCTCTCTCACCCTTCTCTGCACTCCTCAGTATTTAGACGTCTACAGGCATCTCTAACTTACCAAATGAACTTGATTCCAGAACCCCTTCCTCAAACTACTTCACAATTCCCCACACATTCTCAGGCAGAGATACGGGAATCATGCTTGACTCCTTTCTTCCTCATACTCCACTTTCAGTCTAACAGCAATTCCTGTTGGCTGTGCCTTCAAAATACGCATGGCATCCCAGCTCTTCCAACCTCATTTGCTTCTACCACCATCATCATTGGCCTGGGCCCCACCATTGTCTTCCAACTAATCTTCTACGTCCGTACGATGGACTGGGTAATCTTTTAAAACTATGTCCAATGTTATTTCTACTGCTTTTCAAATTCTAGGGCTTTCTAGCACCCATCGAATAGAAATTCATAGTCCTTGTTCTGGCTTCAGAGACTCTGAAAAACCCAGCTTTCGGTACTGCTCCAACTCCATCTCCTTCCCTCTCCCTGCTGTGTGCGCTCTGCACTATGGACATCCTGACTCTGGCTCTTTCTTTACTCAAGAACATTTCTAGTTTGGAACTTTTGCATCTCTCTCTCTCTCTCTCTCTCTCTCTCTCTCTCTTTCTTATATATCTGGATAGCTCATTCCCTCACTTTATTTTAGGTTTCTGATAAAACATGATCTTTTCTGAGACATACTCTGACCTCCCTGTCTAAAATAGCCCCCCCCCCAAATAAACAAAATAGCATCCCCTTCTTGTTGTACTTATCACTGTTTTAAATATTGCTAATATGTCAACTTTGAAAACAGAATGCTGTCCTGGTTGCTTAATTGACGTTAGATTGTATATTTGTTTATTTTATTTTTGTCTTTCCCACTAGGATGCAAACTCCTCAAGAGGAAGAATCTTATTGTGTTCATTGCTTTGTCCCTAGGACCTACCACAGTGGTCGGCACACAATAGGCTTCGAATGAATGCCTGTTCACTTTATGAATGCCGAAAGCCATGTCATCTGACTGGAATTTCTCTTATTTAGCCTTGCCCAATAGATAACTGATCTCAATAACGTAACCAT